TGAGAGACGCACAGGTGCATAGGGCACTGTTCAACTGATGGAAGAAAGTTAAGATTTGCATAGACTGCAGGTGAGTTACGCCCACATGCTTTACAAAGGGATTCCTGCCAGTATTATTTATATGAAGCCCATTTAAAATGAGAAACTTTTCAGGAAAGTATTGAGGGACGGTGGCAGAGGCCTGCCACCCAGATCTCCTTCTCTGCTCTGCTACTTGCAGTAGCTGGTGACCAGCAGGGTCTCTCTGCGGCTGTCCCCAGGCCTGTAAAACCCAGGAGCATGATTCCACGGCTGGTGCCGGGCCTGCTTTCCAACGGAAGCTTAGCTGGGATGCAGGATGTTACACTGATTCATTCCCTTATGTTTTTAGAACTTTTGATATTTAGGTGAAGAGGATTTTGGCCAAAAAGTTAAATCAAACTGATGACTTCCTTGACTTTTCTGACGGGTTCTGACCCCACACAGATGGAATAGAAAAGGTCTAAGATCACATTTTCATAATCTCTGCCCTGATCCCAGATAGCCTGCTACCCTGACTCTTCATGTCAGACCCTACCACTGCTGCTGTCAAATCTGACTTTACAACATATCTGAGAACTCTCCATTACCCTAAGAACCACAACCAAAAATATGCTGATTGAATTTATTTCATTTACATGTCCTTTCAGGTAACATGTATGCTTTTAATAGGGCTAATAAGAGATAGGTAATTTTATTTCACTTAAAATCTACTTAATATATTTTCATATAGGTGGATGTTATATTTATGTTAATATGTAGTACAAATGGCTCTTATTGTAATGGCTCTTATTGCTACTTAAAATTACTAAGTTTTTTTTAAAAGTCAAGACTATTTTTAGGCTATAGTCCCAGTGCCCCAGCAATGTGTACATTTTTCAAACACATTAACAGCTAGTTATATAGTTAATTTGGCAATGACTCATTAAAGAAATATATTTCCATTCTTGGGTCATCCTGAAAGCACCAATTTTAACTACAACATTAACCTTCAGACACATTTTCTTCTCATTTATAATTAATAACTATATAGTAGAGTAAAATCTACAGTCTTGGGAACAAAGCCAAGTAAAATGAGAATGAAATGCCATTACCTCACTTTAAATCTTCCTAAGTGAGGAGCCTAGTTATTTTGGGAAAGGGGAATTATGTCAAAGGGCAGGTGCCATCTCCTATCTGTGCTGTAAGTCTGTGTTTCTTGTTTTCAATGATTTTTCTTGTTGTTTTTATTTGTTAGAGTATTGTTTTCACTCATGTCTGAGGATGATGTTACTGACAAAATCACTTCCTTATTCGGGGTTATATGGATATAGATGTCAAATTTCATATTAACCTTCAATGATGTTTTAAAATACTTTCACATAGTACAAAAATATTATTATGTAATAAATGTCATTCAAAATTGATTCAGATGACCTAGAAGAAATTTAAAAGAAACATTCTCCATTTAGAGCATTTATATTAAATATCAGCTGTGCTTTCCAGAGACAGACTCCAGGCCCAACATTTTAAAAAAGATGGATAAAATCTAAAAGTGCTGATTTACATCACCATGTAACTGAGCCTCAGTTTACTCTTCCATAAAGTGGTGATCCAAATATTGGTCTGATAGGGTTGTCATGAGAATTAAATGAGCTCAGGAATGTGATGCTCTAAGCACAGTGTCTGACACACAGCAACTGCCTAATAAAGTGTAAATGTTACTTATTAATTTTTTAAGTGAATTTACTACTGTAATTTTTTTTCTAAAGAAAGTTTTCTGCCCCTACCCTTTGTATTTCTCTCCTGATTAGCTGATACTTACCTGATGTTCCTCCTTAGCCTTTAGTAAAATTGCGAATTTGGCAAAGGTAGAGTTAGGCTCCCCTTCCAACACATCTGGCCCCTCTCCCGGCACTTACCCCCACAGCTCTCATCTGGCTCCCCCAAAGGCCCCCCTTTCTGAAAGCCTTGGTCGTGGCCAGCTTGCCCCACATCTCCTCCAGAGATGGAGCAGATATTGGCTTGAGTGGCTCAGTTAGGGTCACTTTCAGTAGAGGAAAAGAACAGGGTTGGGACTCCTGAGGTCTTGGTTCTTAACCAGTTCGTTGATTGCCTATCCTAGGCTGAGTTAATTCACTGCTTTCAGACCCTAAATCCACCATCTGTGGGCTGTTGTGAAGACTAAATTATAATGTAAGTACAAGCACCTGTGGACAAGGCTGTGCAGACGATAGTTATTATGAAACTTACTCAACTTTCAAAATGCAACTCAAGCAACTCCTCTCTGTGCAATCGGTGCTGACAGAATGCTGCCCTCAGCCCAGGTAGAATGCGCCATACTCTTCCTTGGGCCCCCACTGTCCACACCTCTATCGTAGCATCTATAAGCTTGCATTTCTGCTTCCACATAGTAGACATTCTTTGTTTTAAATTTACAGAACGTTTGTGATTTTTACACTCTCATACAACAAACAGAACCAACCATGAGTCATGTTTCAAAATTGGGATCACTGATTGGTGCCATATACTATCATGTGCCATGTTCTACCATGTTTCCAACAACCTCAAATTGTTCTTTTCTCCTCTGGTATGTTGAGGAGATATAATAATTTCAGGGCTGGGCATGTTGTGATGTGTAGGGAAGAGGGTCACATTTCCCCAGGGGCTCCCCTGAAACTATAAGACCATGTTCTCTTAAGATCTGAATACTCCATGCCTAACACAGAATCTGACATACAGCAGGGGTTTAACAACAGTTGAATAAATAATTAAAGAAAATTCTTTAACAGAGGACTCAGAAGGATTAAGAACCTTCAAGATCTGAATGAGTTCCAATAATAAAGATTCAGATTTTATGACAGGAGGTGAAGAAACAATTTAGGACCTGCTGGCACTCCGCAAGTCACACTGTATAGTGCATTGGAGCTCCATATTGGTGTAAGTGCTTTTCCTCAAAATAAGGCACTTGTATTCATTGTTGACTCCATTATTGACTCCTATGTAGACAAGAACTCTAAAAAGTACCCCTTGTCATCATTTATCTATGGTGGCACGTCTCCTTTTAAAAAGATAGCAAAACATTTTGTTGTTATAGCATTCTTTCTATATTCAGATGTACAGAATGTATATGTGGGGGATTACACCAATACCGTATTTTCCTTCAGCATTTGGTTCGAAAAAATCTGAGTATAAGTAAACTCATGCAGTTCAAACCAGTATTGTTCAAGGGTCAACTGTACATGTTTTAACTATAGTGAACTTTGGTTTGTGACTTTTGTTATCATGAATTTATCCTACATATGAATTCAAATAAATCAAGCTCTTCCTGTGGTTTTTTTTTTTTTTCCTGTGTGAAATGACATGAATTCTAGTCTTCTTTAAATTGTTTTGATCTAGCTTCATGATAAAGTTTTATCATTGGTTCTCAACATCTGGATCACCCTGGGGAAGGAGGGAGTATTAGACTTTGATTTTGGACATTATTTTAACATTGCCTAATGGAAACTAGCTTCCTGTGTAGGTCGGTAATTTAAAGTTCCAATAGCCATAGACATCATATTTCATTGTGGGGTCATCTTTCAGGCTCTGAATCAGTAAAGGAGCAAACTAAGGGGGTTCTCAGGTAGAGAACCCCTCCTGCCGCTTCTCTGGGAGGTTAGGGGGTTTTACTGCACTTAGTCCTAAGTATTTCATGTGCAGAAAGAACTATATAAGTCCTAAATGTTAGTGAGGGGGGACATCATTGGCAAGAAATACTGCCAATTTCTTACAGCCAGTGAAGAAATTAAAGTTTGTGCTTGCTTGCTCTCTCTCTCTCTCTCTCTCTCTTTCTTTCATCTGTATATGGGAACTGTTTTGAGAATCTTGCTTTCCACATTGTAATCTCTCATTAAATCTTCCTCGCCAGAGATATGACTTGTATATCACAAATTCCCTCTCCCCTCAGCCAAGATAAGAGATGCTTGTCTGAGCACAGCATTTAGAAGCCTCACCCTAGCGTCCCTCAGGGAACTCTCCTTGCTCTCTCTTTACCTCTGACTAGCTTATCACACTTGCCTAGTGTCCCCTGGCATCTGGTTGGGTAGAACTGTATCTCCCTCATTAGCTAAGTGTCTCCACTGAGGATCATTGCTCACCTCCATACTCTATGCAGTTGTAAGTTGTATTACTAAAAAATGCAAAAGTCTTCAAGTTTGTCTGATTCCTACTTTTTTTTTTAAACACATAATGGATTCAAGGTTATCCCTGTAACAATGTCACTTTTACTCACTTGCATGGCCTTGGGAATAACCCTTACTGTGCCCAGGGGAGTGTATTAGGACTCTGTCATGTGTTGCAATGGAAGAAGAAGGGGGAAAAAAGGTCAAAAAGAACAGCGTTAGAGAATAAGCTCTTTCATCGAAATGTCTGTGTTTGTTGTTGTTACCCGCACAGGGCCCAGCTAGCATGATGCCTCACACAGAGCAAGGGCTCAATAAATATTTCCTGGATGAACTAATGAATGCAACCCAATGGGTTAATACATTCCAGGGACCATTATTCTGAAGAAGGAAAAAAATATTCTGCATTTTGGGGTTGTTTTAGTGTCACACTAAAAAAAAAAAAATGTCTTTGCTTCTTGTAAAAGCCTTCCTATAGGTAGAAATTGAGTTGCACTGTGCTCACTGACAGCCTGTGTCACTGTCCAGCCCTATTACATACAAGGGTCACTTTCATAATCCACCATCACAACATGCCTTATGTTTTTCCGCCTAGGTGGTTGTGATAAAATTGTCGTCACAAGTTATTACCCTTAAGTCTAACATTTTCTGAAGGAATGGGTGGCTGAGACTGTCATTTGAGGACTAAGAAATATTTGTCTAGACATTTGATCCAATCTGTATTTTTATTTAATGTGTAATTGGCGAGAAAATAGCAAAGACAAATTTAAATGCATGCATCTCTAACCTTGTCACAGTGTCTGAGCATTCATTCATCATCATTATCTTGGATTCCTGCAGCCCGCAGACTTCATAGGAAAGCAAGCACTGAAACAGATTAAAGCCAAGGGGCTGAAACGAAGACTGGTCTGCCTCACCTTGGCAACAGATGATGTTGATCCAGAGGGAAATGAAAGCATCTGGTACAATGGCAAGGTGAGTGCCGAGGACCCCACTGCCAGGGGACACAGCGTCTGCAGCAACAGAAGCTCCCCTCGGTCCTATATGTTTCCTTTCATACTCTTTTGCTATTAATTGATTTATTTATTAGAGGGAGGACACACTTGATTTCTGAGCTGACATTGAAGAAAGACAAAGCAATTAACTGAGAGGAAAATGAAATGCTAGTCATTTTTGGAAATATAAAATTCTTTATGTTTTGTTTAAGGAAAACAAACCCAGAGATTAAAAAATACATTAGACAACGAGGGAGGCACAATTTAGAGGGTAAAACGATCGATTTGCTTGCCACATCCGTATCTGTGAATGCAAAAGATGGGTTTTATAAAGAATTTGGCCTTCTGATTTGGCTTCCCATGAATCTTTCAGAAGGAGGCAATTAGCATATTAGCAGGAAAAAATTCCACATGAAAACATCTTTGACAATAGAGGGCAAGACTTTAGAGAGTAAAGTGAAAAGTGGAAACCATTTGATTCTTCAGGAGGAGTAAAATTACCTTTTTCTCACTTTGGAATACTTTGGGATTACCTTCTCACTTTTCATTTTCTCTGTTTGTACTCACTAAAACCAGCGTTAGTCAGATAACTTATCAGTGGGACTTCATTTTCTCCACTTTTTATCACCATTTGTAAAGCCCAGCTGGGCTCACCATGTGGACCTGTTTTGGCTGGTGCTTTCAGGCATATGTGGGACCCCTCCCTTAGGCCATGGGCAGGCACAGCCCCGGCAGGGCTCATCAGAGCAGCTGTTCCATATTGAACAGGGTCAACTGGTCCATGCCCAAGACTCAGAGATTCTGTGCCCGTGTTTGTTCTCATTTACTGCAGGCTGCTTAATATTACTTCCATTTTCTCCATCTCTGTAGCAACAAAGAGAGTGCTAGCGGTGTGGAAAGCCAGTGGTGTCAAATCACAGCCTTTGGGTTACTAAAAAATTAGCAACTTGGGCTAAGGCATGGACCAGTTTGATGTAGAACTGACAGCTCCTGAGTTCTTATTCTATACCAGATATTTTTCATGTACTCTCTCATTTAATTTTTTAACACCCCTGCCAGATATGTATGAGCATCTCCATTTTAAAGATCAGACTTTGGGGGCTCAGAGAGGTTAAGTAACTTGCTTGAGGTTACACAGCCAGTGGTTGATGGAGCTGATTTCTAACCCAGGTCTAGTTGGACTGTGAATTTCTGGTCCTTTCTTCTAAGGGATGCCAAATATTCCAATCTGTTTTCTTTTCTGCCTCCACTGATGTTCCCCTTTATTCTCTTAAGAATTTAATTATATACTCACAATTCTTGTACATCTGAGTAGCAGGTGGATGTTATCAGACACTGTGAAGCCAACAGACTTTTCTCAGATCTCAAGTTCCTTCACCGTTCTGTCAGACTTGACAACTGACCTTCTTCCTTTACTTCCTTCTGAAATTGGGTCGAGTTTGCTCTTCTGTTTGAACTATTCCTACTTTCCTCCTTATCTTCTCTTTGTGTTATGTATCTCTGGTTCGGTCCTCTTTTCTTAATATATGTTCCTCCTCCAATTTCAGATTTGCCCACAAGAATACTACTGATAACCAGCTCTGCTACTAACTAACTGCTTGACCTGATCCTGATCCTGATCTCTGAGCCTCAGTTTTCTCATCCATAAAATGGAGCCATTGGAAGAGATAATGTCTAAATCTCTTTCTACTGTATTTTTTTCTCAAGTTGTTACATTTCCTCCATTTCATCTTTCCATTGTATTACATTCTTTACTCTATGCCCATCCAACTTTCTCAGTACTTCCTAATACAGTCTATACTTATCCTTCCACCAACATCCTGTTTCACTTAGCCATGAAGTGAAAGAGATATTATGTTATAATACTCTACATGCAACTCCTGCATCAACCATGATCAAATGACAGATTTTTAGCCATCTTAAATATGATGATTCCCCAATTAAAGTTTTAAAAACTCTGAAAACCCAAGTTCCCAAAATTTTATTTCCTTTGCCCTGTTTGTACACTAAGTTTATATGCCGTATATGTCATCTTTCCTGCCACATGCCATCTGCTTATAGAGCTGCTAATCTAATTATAGGATTATATTTCTTGGATTTCCTAATGTGCACTTGCCTGCTTTTTGATGCTTAGTAGGGTCATCATTTTATCATGCAGATGGTTCTCTTTTTGATCTTTTTCAGGGGCCCTCCTTTGATCCTCTTTATACTCTGGAATGATAGGGAATATTTTTTTGCTTTTTATTTCCCAACTTTGTCCTGATTTGTCCTGCTTTTTGTATTTGGTATTTTATTCTTGCAAATATCCCCAGTGCTGGAGATAGAGTCCAAATTTATTTATTTGTTCAACAAATTTTTGAGTATCTACTATGTGCCAGCACTATTCTAGGCACTGGGGATATAGCAGTGAGCAAAACAGACAAGAATCTCTGTCCTCATTGAGTTTATATTCCAGGGGAAAGAGAGATAATGAACAAAATAAATAAAGTATGACATATGGCATATCAGATGGCAATGAATGCCTTGGGGAAAAGTAAAGTCCAAATGGCAGTGCTAGAGAGATTATAATTTTAAATTAGGTTTAATTTTTAAAAATCAAGGCATAAGACTGGTCATGAGAAGAGTTTGTTTTTGTTTGTTTGTTTACTTTTTTGAGACAGAGTCTTACTCTTTTGCTAGGCTAGAGTGTGGTAGCATCAGCCTAGCTCACTACAACCTCAAACTCCTGGGCTCAAGCAATCCTCCTGCCTCAGTCTCTGGAGTAGCTTGGACTACAGGCATGGCCACCACAACTAGCTAATTTTTTCTATTTTTAGTAGAGACAGGGTCTTGCTCTTGCACAGGCTGGTCTCAAATTCCTGAGCTCAAGCAATTCTCTGCCTCAGCCTCTCAGTGTGTTAGGATTATAGGTGTGAGCCACCACATACAGCTGAGAAGGGTTTTCATTATGTTTGGTGGCTTAGTTATAAAAGAAGCTTAGCTTGGAAGGAAGTTTTTTAAAATTTTTTTTATTTTAGCATATTATGGGGGTACAAGTGTTAAGGTTACATATATTGCCCATGCCTCCCCTCCCCCCTCGAGTCAGAGCCTCAAGCGTGACCATCCCCCAAACATTGCACATCTCACTCATTGTGTTTGTATATATGGAAGGAAGTTTTGAAGAAGAGGTTTGTGGGGGAGTTGGAAGGTTTAGAAGGTTTTTCTTTTTCATTATTTATAAACTAAAACACACAAGGACACCAAAAGAAAACCATGATACATCATCCAACTTAAATTATGTTAACTTCCTTCAAAGGCCATTTGCCATATTGTCTTCTATAAGTCTGTTAGAGACTTCTCATAATTTAAGAGAGGAATGAGAGAGGGTTAAAAATAAATGGGAATTATTTATGTTGGTAAAAAAGATAGTCAATGTTCAATTTAACAAAGAATAAGAATCCACTAGGCAGAGGGTGGGGACAGGTTGTTCTTATACTTTATTGAGCAAAAAAAAAAAGAATGGATTAATTGAACCTGGAAGATTTTAAGGTAGAACTATTTAAAATTTATGCACAGGAAAACATTTTCCCTGGAGATTTAGTAATAAGATAAAAGGAAAAGCCAGACTTCTAAAATACTCTGGGCTGCTAACCCCCGGATTAGAGAGAAATTAAAGTAGAAGTGAAAGTAAATTCTAGCAGAAAGCAAAGCATATTTTAAAAATAGCACTCACAAAATAAGGACTCTATTCCTTTAGGTTACTAATGCAGAAATGACTGCAAGATGCATTACTGCTGGGATGTTAGGAGGTGCGAAGGGCTGAGGAAATGGTGCATGTAGTCTCTGGAGGGCAATTGTGGGCTTTTGACCCAGTGAGTCAGGGGATAGCACCCTGAGACTTGCTCAGGTCTTTCCCTGTTTTTTCAAGATAAGGCACAAAAAGCAAATCATGTTAACTCTCCTAGGGCTCCAAACCCAAAACTCGGTTTTACAGACTGGGAAGTGAAACCAAGGTTACCAGGAAAGCCTTTAAAAGCAATGATCCAACCTCCCTGACCCTATTCCCTGCCTATACCACTCAACTATGATCTAAAAAAGAAAAGCAATTTTAAAGCATGTGTCATATCTTGACAAATCTATTCAAGTTTGTTGCTGTTTTTAATCAATCAGTTCTCACCAGAATAAGTTTGGAAATCATATGGAGAGCTTCTGATTTGGGGTTTCAAAGAGATAATTTAAAAATGGGACTACAGAGATAGGAGTCTACCTTTAAAGTCATAAATGTGTTAGCATCTCAAAGATTAGAAGTGTTATAGTAGGACTGTTGACTGTAGTGAACAATTTGCTGAGGCAGCTAAACAATCACCAGGCTGATTCATATCTGTGAACGTTTTGAACACCAGCTCTGAGCACTCACTGTGCTAGACAGCGGGGCTGGAAGGAGCAGCGCAACATTGTGTGGCCAGGAGAAGCCATTGTGAGCAGGGGTATATATCATTTTCTGTTTTGTTGTCTTCCTTTTATTTTTTTTTTCTATGCAGTATTTTGACTTGACAATTTTTGAAATTTTCTGCTTTTCCTTCTCTTTCATCTTTTTTATTAAATATGGTTTCCATTAACTGTCTTATCTTCTAGTCAGGCTTGTTATATTGATTTTTTTTTTTGATGGCATAAATCCTTTGTTTTTATCTCCTGAGATTTTATTTTGTTTTGTTTTGTTTTTTGAGACAGAGTCTCACTCTGTTGCCTGGGCTAGAGTGCCACAGCATCAGCCTAGCTCGCAGCAACCTCAAACTCCTGGGCTCAAGCGATCCTCCTGCCTCAGCCTCCCAGGTAGCTGGAACTATAGGCATGTGCCACCGTGCCTGGCTAATTTTTTCTATTTTTAGTCGTTTTGGCTAATTTCTTTCTATTTATCGTAGAGATGGGTCTCACTCTTGCTCAGGCTAGTCTTGAACTCCTGAGCTCAAGCAATCCTCCCTCCTCAGCCTCCCAGAGTGCTAGGATGACAGGAGTGAGCCACCGTGCCAGGCCCATCTCCTGAGTTTTGATTCCTTATTTAATATTGTTCTCTGTTTTGCCATGCCAAGTTACCTTATTTCATCCACTTTAGTTTTCATTGTTTGCTTCTTTGTTCATCCCTAACGCCATGTCTTTCCTCATTCTGGAAGATTTCATCCCACGTCTCTGCCAACCTAATTCTACCCACCTTCAAGTATAGAAGAATTTTTTTGTTTTGTTTTTTGTTTTTGTTTTGCAATGAGATCTCACTACATTTCCCAGGCTGGACTAGAACTCCTGGGCTCAAGCAATCCTCCCACCTCAGCCTCCCGAGTAACTGGGATTACAGGTGTGCCCCACCACACCCGGCTCTTGGCTCACTCATTACTCTTGAAGTGTAAAGCTGTGGCTTCCTGATTACATTTTCTTGTATCTCTTTGTTAATTTCCCACTTAAGCTGTATGGGCAGGTACCAGGACTCCTCTTATTTCTCTACGGTGTCTAGCAAAATATTTTGTACATGGTATGACTAAAAGTGTTAAAGTTACCATTTATGTAAGTGCCTTATACTGTTAAATATTAGATATACTACATATAGTCTTTCATGTAGAATGTTTACTTCACAGTGACTACTGATATATTAAATAAATAGTTTAATTCTGCACTGTTTTGGCAGGCAATTTTCTAAACCCCAACGGGGACAGTTAACTAAGTTTCCATTTGGATTTTTAGATGTTCCCTCCTCTTAACTACTATCGCCATGTTCCCTCCTCTTATCTACTATGCTAGTTTGATGATAGAGGAGAGGGTTTTTTAAGTTTAAAATGAAGGTACCTCAGTCTTGTTCCTATCAGATTTCTTGGTGTGAAACTGAGCAAAATGGTGCTGGGTATTAAGAAACTAAGTGCTATTACTTAAAAATGAGAAGTTTCAGAGTAATACAGATGTGTACCTTGAGAATTATTTTTCATAATTTGTAAATTTTCATTAATCTTCTCAAAATGTGAAAATTTTCTCCTGTGTCTTTGGTGTTATCCCCACAGACAGCATTTCATAAAAATTCCATATTGTAAGTTGACTCTATAGTTTTTTCACCTGGGGATGTGGAGCACAGAGCTGTGACTGAGACACTGGGGATTGTCGGGTCTTGTTTTCCAGGTGGTCGGCAACACAACATCTGGAAGCTACAGTTACAGCATCCAGAAAAGTCTGGCTTTTGCGTATGTCCCTGTCGAACTAAGTGACGTGGGACAGCAAGTGGAGGTGGAACTATTGGGCAAAAATTACCCAGCAGTCATCATACAAGAACCCTTGGTATTGACAGAGCCAGCCAGAAACCGGCTTCAGAAAAAAGGTGGAAAAGTCCCTTAGCAATCAACTGAATTATAGTTGCTATGTGACTGTATTTGAAATTATTATAATTGGTTTTCAGGGGAATAGAGGAAACCAAGAATTCATTTCAAAATCATCATAATCTAGATTTAGAATCTTAACAAAACCTCTGATTTTCTAAGCAAGATAAAATAATGGATTAGTGACTTACATTGTTCTTTCAAATGAAGAAATTTGAAATGAATGGTTTTTATTACCCCATATTACTCAATCAGCAAAACATTTAGGTGTTTGCTAATATACAATCATTGTTGTAACTGAATTTAAAGGACATTATCTAATTTTAGTAATATATGCAGATGATTCTTGATAGCTGAAAACAAATTAATAAATTATCTTTTACATAAAAACAAATACAATATTGTTGATGGATTTACTTCCTTGAGAAATCTTTCCTTAGGTGGTGTTAGTTTTAATTTTTCATAATATATCTATGATGAGAACAGTACATTTTAACATCAGTATATAACTAACATTTGTCTTCAATTCTCTGAAATATGTATTATTTTCTTAATGAAAGCACCTTTATAGGACATTAGTATTGCCTTTTCAAAGGTTGTTTTAGAAGAGAAATTACAAAAAAGAACAGAGTCTTCTAACAAAAGTGGTACTTGTAAACCTTCAGAAATGAAGCTGAAACATAAATAGATTGTGCCAGTACAAACACAGTTTGAATACTGAGCACCTCTCTTTGGGACAGAATTAATGCAAGTTGACATCACATGGTAGTGTTGTGAATATCATTTCGCAAAGCATTTGACAAAGCAGGTCAAACAAAAACTTAAGAGCTGACAGGATTGTCCTTAGCTCTATATACTGTAAGAAAAAAAATCTACTTAGAAATAATTCTTTGATATGCTTCTTGAAATTATTTGGGTTTAGTCGACCAAATAAATAAAACAATTTTTGTAAAAGGTGGTTTTTCATTTATAATTAATTTATAAATATGTATTTGTTACACATTTATTGACATTTTCCTAAATATTAAAAAAACTCAATGTGAAACATGATAATATTCTGTAATTAGAGTAAACTTTAAAATGATTTGTTAACTTATAAGTTTTGAAACAGTGCCAAGTTTACATTTTAAATGTTTTATAACAGTAATCATGTATTAGAACTTTTCAAGATGCCATTTATTTCTGTTTTGTAAATCCTCTTACATAAGCAAAGAGGGAAATCCCCTCGGTAACAAACATTTCCTAACTATCTCGAATGTTATGTAGGCTGTCTGTCCTAGTTCCCGTGTTGGGTGCTGGTTAAAGCCTTTGTCTGAGAATTGGGAGATCCACTTCTCATTCTCTGTCTTTCTGTAGCCCTTTAACTTCATGATGGTTACTCACCATTTCTGGGTTCTTCTCTGTGAAATAGTAATAGGTTTAGACTCTCCCAGTCTTTTGCATATTATAATGGCAAGAAGAAATAAAGTTCAGCCATGAATTCATGTCATAAAGTTAAAACAGCACTAAAATCAATAAATAATAAGAAAAGAACATTTAGACAAATATTAAACTTTTAAGGAAATTCTACCCGCAGCATAAAAGAAGTCTGCTTCTTAATTTCCTTAAGATTGTTCCCTCTTTTATAGTATGTTAGGTGCTATTAGGTTTTGAAGGTCATCCAACCCCCACGCCCATCCGACCATTGTCCTGGCCTCAGCACCAGGTTTAGCATCCACTGACCAGGGACCTGCAACACAGCTTGTCCTTGAAAAGATAACTGAGTCAACCAGATTTCTTCCATGAGAACTTGAACTGTGAACCATCAGAGAATAAGCTGATTAGTACTAAAAGCTGAGGCTGCAAAGATACACAGAAAGAAAAGTCATGAAGCCTAGGAGCAATAAGCGCTCCCCAAAAGGAGGAAGACCCTAAGAGAGAGACAGAGAGAGTGAAAGGTCAGTTCCTGAAGCTTTCAGCTTCTTGGCCAGTTCTTGAATAAGAACCTTGACTTAAAAGAGCCCAATTAAAACCACTAGCTTCTGGAAAGTGGACCATACACTGAGAGAGGCCTCAAAGGAATGGGCTCAGGATTAGTGTCAGCCTTGAGCAGCCAACAACCAGCATGTTTGAAAGTACTCCAGTAATGTACAGAAGCCTGTGTCTACAGCTGAGAAAAAACATTCTCAAGAATGTGATGATGAATGATAGGCACTTTCTTCCCTTGAAAATACACAAGGGTTGGAAAACACTGCAGTCTTTTCAACTGAGACCTTACAAGCCAGAAGCAATTGGGGCCTCATTATTAGTCTTCTCAAATAGAATAATGGCCAGCTTAGAATTTTATATCCTGCAAAGCTAAGTTTCTGATATGAGGGAGAAATAAAGACTTTCTCAGACAAACAAACACTGAGGGAATTTGTCAAGATGAGACCTGTCCTGCGGGAAGTACTCAGAACTGCATTATACACAGATTAGCACGATAGACACCCACCAGTGTAAAATTACCCAAAAGCTAAAGGTCAGAGCCCAGATACTACAATGGCTCAAGAGGTGAAACAAAGCAATAAAGATCTACTCAACAGAATGAACGGAAATCCACCTCACTTATCAATTCTTTCAATAAGTGTGAATGCCTTGAAATCCCTATACACCAATAACACTTAAGCTGAGAATCAAATGAAAGACTCAATTCCTTTCACGATAGCAACAAAGAAAATAAAATACCTAGGAATATATTTAACCAAGGAGGTGAAAGGCCTCTACAGGGAAAAATACAAAACACTGAGGAAGGAAATTGCAGAGGATATAAACACATGAAAAAACGTATTATGCTTATGGATCGACAGAATCAGCATTGTTAAAATATCTATACTACCCAAAGTGATTTATAGATACAGTGCAAACCCCATTAAAGTACAAGTGTCATTTTTTTCAGATCTAGAAAAAATAATTCTATGCTTTGTATGGAACCAGAAAAGACCTCAAGTAGCCAAGGGAACCTTAAGCAAAAAGAACAAATTGGAAGGCATCACTTTACCAGACTTCAAGCTATACTACAAGGCTATAGTAACCAAAACATCATTATATTGGCATAAGAACAGAGACCTAGACCAATGGATCAGAACAGAGAATGCAAATATAAAACCATCATCATATTTCCATCTGATCTTTGACAAAGCAGACAAAAATATACACCAGGGAAAGGAATTCCTATTCAATAAATGGTGCTGGGAAAATGGGATCGCCATATGCAGAAGACTGAAACAGGATCTACATCCCTCACCACTCACAAAAATTAATTCATGACGGATAACAGTCTTAAACCTAAGGCATGTAACTATAAGAATTCTAGAAGAAACTGTTGGAAAAACTCATATATGTATTATATATATATATATATATATGCATGCGTAGGCAAAGAATTTATGAAGAAGACCCCAAAGATAATCATAGCAACAACAGAAATAAATAAATGGGACCTGATTAAATTAGAACGCTTCTGCACAGCCAAGGAAACAATCAATAGAGTGAATAGACAACCTACAGAATGGGAGAAAATAATTGTATGCTACACATCTGATTAAGAGCTGATAACCAGAATCTACAAATAACTCAAGCAACAACCCCATTAAAAAGTGGGCAAAAAACACAAACAGAAGTTTTCAAAAGAAGATAGACTAATGGACAATAAACTATGAAATAGTTTATCGAAACTAATGAAAAACTACTCAACCTCTCTAATCATTGGGGAAATGCAAGTCAAAACCACAATGAGATATAATATAACTCCAGTGAGAATGGCTTTTATCAAAAAGTCCCAAAACAATGATGCTGGCATGGATACAGAGAGAAAGGAACACTTACACACTGTTGGTGGGACTGCAAACTCTATGGAAAGCTGTATGGAGATACCTCAAAGAACTAAAAGTAGACCTACCATTTCATGTAGCAATCCCATTAGTGGGTATATACCCAAAGGGAAAAAAGTCATTTTATCAAAAAGATATGCTCAACCATTTATAGCAGCACAATTCACACTCACAAAGATGTGGAATTAACCCAAGTGCCCATCAATACATGAGTGGATTAATAAAATGTGATATATGTATACCATGGAGTACTACTCAGCCATAAAAAATGGTGAATCAATATCTTTTGTAACAACCTGGATGGAACTGGAGACCATTCTTCTAAGTGAGGTATTATAAGAATGGAAAAACAAATACTACATGTACTCACTATTAAATTGGAACTAATTGATCAACACTTGTGTGCACATATGGTAGTAAAACTCAACAAAAATCAAGCAGGTGCGAGGAGGAGGAGGGGATAAGTAAATTCACACCTGTGGGTATAATGCACACTATCTGGGTGATGGGCACACTTATAACTTTGACTTAAACTGTACAAAAGCAATTCATGTAACCGAAATGTTTGTACTCCCATAATATTCTGAAACTAAAAAAAAAAAATAAGGTAAAAGGGCCTCAAAAACACTTTTTTTAAAGTCTGGTTTATGATCTTACAGGCCTTTAAGAAGACCTTCTCCTCCTCATTTAGATATAGTAAGAACAAATCCATCTCTAATAATTTCTAGAACCAAATGTATCATGAAAGTAATTTAATAGCTGGCATCTTAATTAACAAAGTTTGGGTCTTCTTTCTTATGTTCAAGTCTATCTCCTTCTGAACTGGTCAGAGTAGTAATGGGGCAACGAGTAACACCAACCGCAATTTACCACATATAGTTAGTGAACTTCAGGTTTTCTCTCTGAAGAAACACCTCTTACCATGCTTATCTCTTTATCTTTTCTTCTTCTATCTCAACGGCATTAGACATCTAGAGATAAAGTGCTTAAAATTGCTTAGTCTTTGTATGCAATATTTATCATATTCAAAGGCATTGGAAAAAAACGGTTGGTGAGAAGCACTGAAACTCCGGAATCCTGACTTCTGAGTATAACCTATAGCCAGTCAGCACAAGCCAAGAACTAGGGGCTTTGTAAAGTACAGAAATCAAGAGGCATTAACGTTAGCATCTATGAGAGCCTCTTAGTACACAGCCTTCAGGTTATATTTTTTTTTATTTTTTTAATTTTTTTTGGAGACAGAGCCTTACTCTGTTGCCCTGGCTAGAGTGCCGTGGCATTAGCCTAGCACACAGTAACCTCACTCCTAGGATTAAGCAATCCTTCTGCCTCAGCCTCCCGAGTAGCTGGGACTACAGGCATGAGCCACCATGCCCAGCTAATTTTTTCTATATATTTTAAGTTGTCCAGCTAATTTCTTTTTATTTTTAGTAGAGACAGGGTCTTGCTCTTGCTGAGGCTGGTCTTGAACTCCTGACCTTGAGCATTCCTCCCACCTCGGCCTCCCTGAGTGCTAGGATTACAGGCATGAGCCACTGTGCCCGGTCCTTCAGGTTTTATTAATACAAACTTTTTCATAGGGGAAGACTTACTCTTCGCACTCTGTTCTCACTTATAATTAATTTTACTTTCTGTTTAAATGTATATTATGTTATTGCCATTATTATTAATATTAGAAAGAGATGATATATGCACAAAGTTTAACATTTAGAAGGTATTAAAGGGTATATGGTGAAAAGTTAGTCTCTTTCCCATTCCTGTGCCCAATCAACCAATTTATCAAGAGACAACCAATCTTATAATTTCTTCCGTATCTTTCTTGAGATAGTCTATAAATATGAAAGCACCTTTCTCTCTATATATGTGTACACACACATACATATATTTCTGCACACAAATACATATATTTTTAAGCAAATGAAAGCATACCAATCATGTTTTTTGCCTAACTTGTAGAAATTAATGGTATATTGGGATTATTTCATGCCATCCTTTTAAATGATTATTGAGTATTCCATGATTAATTTAAACAAGCCCTATTATAAGCCTTTTTCTATTACAAATAAGGCTAAAACGAACATCTTGTTGTATATGGTATTTCTTTTTTTTTTTTTTTTTTTCACACAAGACACCAGGAAATGTATATGGTATTTCTTACATTGAGTATATCTGCAGGATAAATTCCTAGAACTGGAATTGCTGGATTAAAGTGTGTGTGCATTTTGATAGATGTGCAAAATTGTTCCCTTTAAAGGTTGTACCAAATTTCATTTCTGTGATTAATGCATAAGAGGGCTTGTTTCTTTACACCCTCCCCAAGGTAGTGAGTTATCACTAGTATTAGTGGTATATTATTGATGTTTCTATTTGAATTTCTGAGCGAGGTTCAGCATCTATTCATATATACCAGACACTTATATTTCCTTTTCTGTAAACAATTGTGTTTTTATACTTTGCCCATTTAAAAATTAGATTGTTATTCTTTTTCTTATTGACTTTAAGAGTTATAAGAGATTTTCACTATGGGTTGAATAGGTTTTGTGAGGGTTAGAATGCAAACCAGGTGATTATGTATAATGTTTCTCTGTAAAAAATACATTCTGTGTTGCAAGCACCCAACCTGCCAAACAATTAACTTTTATCCCACTTGTAAATTGGGAGATGCTTTTATTTCTGTCCCAATCTCTGCATCTCTTAACTAATTTAAATTGTTTTTACTGATATGACTATGTACTGGGAAAGCCCTAAAAATACTAATGATTAAAGTAACTCAAACAATAGAAGAATTTAGTAATTAGTAGGATGCAAATTACCATACAGAATTATCATACTATCAGTAGCCTTCAAGTCCACAAATAATGACGAGGTAAAAGTTATAATGATAGAGAAAGCCCCCATTTCAACAGCAAAAGTGAAGATAAAATATCTAGGAATAAATCTAACAACAAAAACACAAAATTGGTAGGAGGAAAAATTTTAAAAATGAAAAGACATCCCTTGTTTTTAGATATGATAACTTAATATCATAAGGATTTTGGTTCTCCTCAAATTAATTTATAAATTTAATTCAATTCCAATAAAATTTCCAACAAACTTTCTGATGGAACTAAATAACTAATGTTGCTATCAAAGTTCATATGAAAAATAAACATGTAACCCCATAATATGCTGAAATTAAAAAAAAAAGAAAAATAAACATGCAGGAATAGCCAGGAAAATACCACAATTGAAAAGCTATGAGGAGTGACTAGCCCTGCTATACATGAAAACATACTGTAAAGCCTCTAGAACTGAGCCAGTCTGGCACCATAAGTAAACAGATAGGCAAGTGGATAGAACTGAAAGCCCAGAAATAGATCCAAGTGTATATGGAAATTAAGCATATGATAAAGGTAGCATCTCATATCACTGGGGCAGAGATGGACCTCCCTATGAATAGTGCTAAGATAACTGACTAGCCATTTGGAAAAAGAAAATTAGGTCCATATTTCACATCATACACAAAAATAAATGCCCATGGATCGTGGATCTAAATATAACAACTGGAACCATACGAGTGTTAGAAGCAAACATGGGTAAATCTTGTTTTCCATTTGGTATAAGAATAGTCTATGACTCAAAATACACATGTAATAAAATATTGATAAATTTGTCTAACATTAAAAAAATAACTTCTGCATAGTAAAAACACCAATTTGACAACTGACAGACTGGAAGAAAACATTTGTGATACACATCACAATTAAAGGAGTAACTTCTCTAATATATAAAGAACTCAAAATTGAGTGGGAAAAGACCAAAAACTCAATCAAGAATGACACAATTTACAAAAATGATGTAAAAATGGCCCTTTATCACATGAAAAGATGTTTAACTTATTTATAAGAGAAATGCAAATACAAACACAAAGAAAAAACTACAAAGAAAAAAGACACAAAGAAAAAATCATTTCTCAAATCAGATTAGCAAAAAGTAGAAAGTACAGTACTTTTTAAAGTACTTTTTATAAGTAAAAATGTACTTTACTTTTTTTATAGAGAGTACAGTACTTTTTTATATTTTTAGAGCAGTTTTAGGTTCATAGCAAAATTGAGAGAGGAAGGTACAGAGATTTACCATATATTCTTGGTTCTTATATACATTGCCTCCCTCTCTCATTATCAACATTTCCACCAAGGTGGTACATTTGTTACAATTTTTGACCCCTTTTTGCCTTTTATTCCCTTAAGTTCCGTTTCCTTTTGGGTTTCTTTTTTGTTTTTTTCCTTTTTTTGGGTTTGGTCAATTTTTTATTGCCTTTTTTCCCCCTTTTTGTTTTGTTAAGGATTGTTTTCCTTGCCTTAAAGTTTTTTTTTGGTTCCCTTTTTTTTCCTTTCCCCCCTCCTCCCCCTCCTTTCCGGCCCCCCTGGCCCCTTCACCCTTTGGCACCCCTTGCCTTTTTTTACTATCTCCATGGTTTTGTTTGAATATATTTTGAATCATATAGTATGTAGCCTTTTCAGAGTGGCTTCTATCACTTAGTAATATGCATTAAAGGTTCCAGCATGTCTTTTCATGGCCTGATAGCTCATTTCTTTGCTGAATAATATTCCATCATCTGAATGTACCACAGTTTATTTATCCTTTCACCTACTAAAGAATAACTTTGTTGCTTCCAAGTTTTGGAAACTATGAATAAGGCTGCTATAAACTTCTGTGTGTAGGTGTTTGTGTGAATATAAGTTTTCTACTCTTTTGGGTAGATACCAACGAGCATGATTGCTGAATGACAGGGTAATAGTATGTTTAGTTTTGTAAGATACTGCCAAACTGTCTTCAATATAGTACTTCTTGGTTGCTAATGACAATGAAAACTGGTATAACCTATACTCATATGGAAGGGGGGGAGAGAACTGGAGGTATTCACTATGAACTCATCGTTATATATATATATGTATATGTATAGATATTTTAATAGTATGTGGGTGTGTATATATAAACACATATATGTGTGTATGTATATACGTACATCTAGTTCTTACCTTTGTCTTGTGAGAGATCCTAGAAGCAATGACAGCCCAGTGGGCAGTGAGCACACCTAAAGCACAGATCTTGGTTTCTAAATACCATCCTCCACTAAAAAGAATTAGGGTTCCTTGGAGAAATGCCTCATTCTAGGGATAGGGAAGCACAAGTACAAGATGAGCCTAGAAAGTCTCATTGTACCAAAAAGTAAGTAAATGCTCAAACATTAAAGAGGATATGCTGAAAGGATATAAGAGCCAGATTAAAGGGGCTCCCACTGGCCAAATCAGGGAAAATTTGAGCATTGAAATAATTATAGTGAAGGATTATAGCATATTGATTAAAACAAGAATCCATGAGTTCATAGTAAAATTAAATAAGAGAGAAAGGAAAGTTCTTTCTTACCATAGAAGGCTATTAATACATATAGAAGAAATGACAGAAATCAGTAGCCATCCTAATTATAACTAAGGTAAAAAGCACGATGCTAAAAACTAATAAGCAAAAGTTTGAGGAATAGGATATTTACAAATTCTCAAAATATCTCTTAATCTTATTAATAGGGCAAACTATTAACTTACAGTGGAGAAATGACAACCTTAACAAAGGTATCCCATAAGAGAGCAAATCAACATCATGTGCCTCTTAATAGAAAGCATTGAGGATACCACATCACAACTGTGATATTCCTGCACAAACCCATAATCTGAATCTAAGTATGAGGAAACACCAAGAAAAAAAAACTCCAATAGAGAGATTTTACAAAATAACCTATACTACACATTATAGATGTTCAATACATAGATGAAAAATAAAATCAACTCTCCCAGGGCCAGGCATGGTGGTATGCACCTGTAGTCTCAGCTACTCAGGAGGCTGAGGGAGGAGGATGGATCAGTTGAGCCTGGGAGGTGGAGGTTGCATGAGGTAAGTTAGCACCACTGCACTGCGGCCTGGGTGACAGAGCTGGACCCAGACACACACACACACACACACACACACACACACACACACACACACACACACACACACACACACACAAATTAACTCTTCCACTTGTATATTTTCAGAAGCATTATTAGTATAAGCTTTTATTTGAAAAAACAAGATGTAAGAAGGTTCAGGGTAAGTTTAGCTAGTTTCAGGAGCAGTTGGTTAAGGGAATAATTGTTCCTATAGATTAGCAGCCATTGTTTGGGCAATTTGATTTTTATCAAGAAGCGTAGGGAGGAACAGTTATGGGAGAGAAGGACCATAGTGGAAATTCTCAGGTCTTCAAGATCTCTTACAGAGTAAGACTAAAATTGTGAAATCCTTAAATTGTAATTTTTTTCTGTTAAATTTCATTGATTCCACTAGATAGGAAAAGTGGGTATAACATAAATTAATCTATTCATGGAAAGAAAAAATTTATAAGTATATAAGAAGGAAACATTTCATGTGTTAAAGGATAATTCTCAAATTAGAAAGAAAGGTAAAATCATGTTGCAGCTCAACGAGGTTCATTTGCCAAGAAGCCAATATGCTGAGCCAGCAGGTTTTTTGGCACAGATCTTTATACCCCATAGCACTAAGCCAGGAGACAGGAGAAAATTCTCAAATCCATCTTGAGAACTTGAGAGAGAGGGTTTTAAAGGATAGCTTGGCAGGCAAGGGATTAGGCAATTAGGTTTGTTAGGGCAAAATTATTAGGAGTATAGGAATCATCTTGTGTGATTTCAGTCCCTGGGGTCACAATTCCAGCTGAATCGGTTTCTTGGTATGGGCTGCTGGTTGGGGTGGGTCAATCAATCCACTGGAATGCTGGCTCTGGAAAATATCTTAAAAACTATCTTCAGGTTTCAAAACGGTGATGTTATCTATGGAGAAAATTAAGAATCTTTATGGACACCAGTTATAGGGAGAAGAATCTTATGACCACCAGCTGCATGGTACCGGAGTGGCAATTACAGAGGACAGTTACTAATTATTATCATTATTTTTAGCTAGGCCCTTACCATAGCTCTCGTCTTGCACCCTGTTATTGAAGGGCGGTTTCAATTATGACCCTCATACAAATATAAAAGTGAATACATGATAAGATTTTATTTAAATAACTAATCAATGAGGAAACTGGTAAGGTGTTCAAAAGACAATCCAAAGAAGTTATTAGGAATATTAAAATAAATGTGCAAGTGGAGGCCAAACAATTTTTTCCTTGGTGGTGGTGGAGGGGGTGGGTTGTCACTTCTTTGGATAGAGTTCATTTGCATATGTATAAACAAAAATTATTTTCTATTGTCATCATTTATCTACAATTTATAAACATGTAAAATAACTCCCATGGAATCAGACTTGCCTGAAAGGATGTGTTCTCTAGGCAATACAAAACATTTTTGCCTATTCCTGTTAATAGCTATAATCTTTCTCCAGACATAGAGTAGACAAAAAGTCTTGGATAGCAACAGGAATACACTGGTCATAAGGTTAACTTCCCAATTCAGTAAGCACGTGGTTAAAGGGATTTTTTTCCTTCCACCCACAGATATTTTAGGCAAATTTAATATTGTACTTCTCTGATTCACTGTGTGGTCAGGAAACCAGCTCTGAGTGGGCTCACACCTGGATAAGTGAATGAGCTACTTAATGTCCACACACTTCAAAACAACTCCCAAGGCGACCTGGAAGTAGAACTGCATCTTCATAAAGGCACTGGGCAGCCGGACTGTGTATTTGGCCCCGTTTGCTAGTGGGAAGTGGTTTCATGGCTGTACCCTATTCATAAATTAATCTGAAACACCATCTAGACCTCTCCCTCTTCAGGTCCTCTCACCGTCTCCAAGTTGGGCTCTTGAGCTAAAAATGACTCGCTAGTTAAAACATCATGGTTAGGATCTGGAGTCAGAGACTCAACCATTTACAAGCTTTTTTATTCCGAAAAATGAGCACCAATTATAATGCCTAGCTGCCAGGGTTGTTGCAAGATTTACAGGAGCCGAGGGCTGTGAATTTGCTTTGTAAACTGTCAAGTGTTATTAAAGGGAACACATCCCTCTTTTAGGATGCCATGGTGCAAAGTTCATCGATGGGCCTTGGTCCCTTTCAAGCGTCGGCCCAGTTTCCACGGAGCTGGGCTGCGGGGGCCCACGGGTCCGTCGCGGCTGGCTCCTCCCCCGCCACGGCCCGGCCGGTCGGAAGCAGCGGGGGCACGCGCGCCCGGCCTCGCCAGCCCGCGGCCCGCTGGGGGTGCAGTCCCGCGCGGGGGCGGGGCAGGCCCCGGCCGCTCAGTTCCTGCTTCTATCAAGCGGTACCCGGGGCTGGTGGCGCCACAAGCGCCCGGACCGCGGGCCGCTAAGATGGGCCCGCGCGGCACGGCGAGCCTGCTCCCAGGCCCCGGCCCGCGGCGGCAAAAATCATTTCTCAAATCAGATTAGCAAAAGTAAGTACAGTACTTTTTAAAGTACTTTATAAGTAAAATGGTACTTACTTTTTTTATAGAATACAGTACTTTATATTCTTTTAGAGCATTAGGTTATCAGCAAAATTGAGAGAGGAAGGTACAGAGATTTACCAATATATTCTTGGTTTTATATACTTGCCCTCCTCTCTCATTATCACTTCTCCACCAGGTGGTACATTTGTTACAATTATAATGAACCCATATTGACATGTAATCACCTAAAGTCCAGTTCACTTTAGGGTTCATTCTTGATGTTGTACATTCTGTGGGGTTGGACAAATATGTAATGACATGTATACACCATTATCGTATGGTAAAGAATAGTTTCACTGCCCTAAAAGTTTTCTATGAGTCACCTGTTTTTCCCTCCCCCCATCCTCACCCCCACTTCCACCCACCCGACCTCACCTCTGGCAACCACTGACCTTTTTTACTATCTCCATGGTTTTGTTTGAATATAATTGATCATATAGTATGTGCCTTTTCAGAGTGGCTTCTTATACTTGTAATATGCATTAAAGGTTCCAGCATGTCCTTTTCAATGGCCTGATACGCTCATTCTTTGCTGAATAATATTCCATCATCTGAATTACCACAGTTTATTTATCTTCCTCACCTACTAAAAAATAACTTTTGTTTGCTTCCAAGTTTTGGAACCTATGAATAAGCTGCTATAAACCTGTTGTGAGGGTGTTTGTGTGAATATAGCTTTTCTACTCTTTTGGGTAGATACCAACGGCATGATTGCTGAATGCAGGGTAATAGTTATGTTTTGTTTTTGTCAGATAATTGCCAAACTGTCTTCCAATATAAGTACCTTCTTGTTGTAATGCAATCCGAAATGGTATACACCTATACTCATATGGAAGGGGGGGAGAGAACTGGGAGTATTACTATGAACTCATCGTATATACTATACTATGTATATGTATAAGTATTAATAGTATGTGGTGTGTATTATAACACATATTGTGTGGCTAATGTATACTACGGTACATCTATTCTCTTAACTTGTCTTTAGTGAGAAGGATCCTAGAAGCAATGACCAGCCCAGTGGCAGTGACACCTAAAGCCAGATCTTGGTTTCTAAATACCATCCTCCACTAAAAAGAATTACGGTTCCTGGAATGCTCATTCTAGGGATAGGGAAGGAAAAAGTACAAGATGAGCCTAGAAGATCCTCATTGTACCAAAAAGTAAGTAAATGTTCAAAATTGAAAGAGGAATGCTGAAAGGATACTAAGAAAAAAAAGCCAGATTAAAGGGGCTCCACTGGCCAAATCAGGGAAAAATTTGAGCATTGAAATAATTATGTGAAGGATTAATACCGCATATTGATTACAACAAAATCCATGAGTTCATCAGTGAAAATTAATAAGAGAGAACGGAAAGTTCTTCTTACCATCACGAAGGCTTATTAAGTACTATACGAAAGAAATGACAGAAATCAGTAGCCCATCCTAATATAACTGAGGTAAAGCAACGATGCCTACAAAACTAATACGCAAAGTTTCGAGGAAATACGGTATTACAAATTCTCAAAATATCTTTAATCTTATTAATAGGGCAAACTATAACCTTTACAGTGGAGAAACACAACTTAAAAGGTATCCCATAAGAGAGCAAATCAAACAATCATGTGCCTCTTATAGAAAGCATCTGAAGAGGTACAACATCACACTGTGATTATTCCTGCTGCACAAACCCAATCTGCATCTACAGTATGAGGAAACCAAGCAAAAAAAAACTCAATAGAGAGATTTTACAAATAACTATACTAACACATTATTAGATGTTCAATACATAACGATGAAAAATAAAATTAACTTTCCAGGGCCAGGATGGTGGTATGCACCTGTACGTCTCCAGCTACTAGGAAGGCTGAGGGACGAGATGGGAGCCCAGGAGTTTGAGGTTGCTGTGAGCTAGGTTGATGCTACGGCACTCTAGCCTGGGCAACAAAGCAAAGTCTCAAAAAAAAAAAAAAAAAAGGAAAGGAAGAGAAGGCAAGGTTTGCTGCAAAGGGTTGTGCATTTGCTCTGAAGTAAGAGAACTGAACTCAAGTTGCAAAAGAATGGAAGGGCCATTCATTTCTCCAACTTCCTCCCTTCCAACAGACTTAAACAGAAAAGCAAATACCAACTTCAAAAACCTGTTCCCGTAATTGGCTGCTTTTTGTCCCCCAAAACCCTCCCCTACCAGTCTTGGATAAAAAAATTTGAGGATTTAGAGTATTCCCTAATAAGTGAAGAAAGAGAAGAAGCTAGGTGCTCCCCAAACAGTTTAGAGACCTCTCAGTGTCAAAAAAGCAGGCTACCCTCCCCAAACATTTTTCATGACTTTTTTCATCCACTTAATTTTGTTAGAGTTCAAGAGTCCCAATTAGAAATTACCTTGCATTAGCAAGCATTCCCTTTTAAAGGAGTAAATATTTCAGAGAGGGCTAAGGAGCCACATTGCCTTCAGGTACTAAATGCTGGTACTGTTCTGAGCACTTTACAAGTATTAACTCATTTCCTTCTCACAGTGACCTTATCAGATAGATACTACTATCATCATTTCATCACACCTATTTTATAACAAGGAAGCTAAGGCAGGAAGAGGTTAAGAAATTTGCCCACCATCACAGGACTAGTAACTGGTAGATGAGAATTTGAACCGGGCATTGTGGCTCCAGGGTTGGTGCTTATAACCACTAACCCATATCACAAACTCAGAATTATTAAAAATATCACAACAGCTGCTTCATATGTACTAAGTTATTCCCTATTATTTTTGGACATTTAGGTCATTCCTAAACATCTCAATTTAAAATCAACCTGTAATATTTCTAAGTTAGGAATTGCCTACATT